CTTTGCCTGGGGAGGGCAGAGAGGACAAGGAGGGACCCCTGGAAGGTACCTGGGCTGTAAACTGAGTTTTGGAGGATGTGGATTGGGAACTTGCATTTCATTGAGAGGGAAGTAATGTATCCAATATGGCCCTTTAGGAGCCAGCAGGTAAACCGGGTTTCCCGAGCTCAAGCATTTGGGGCAGATCGATCGATAAGGCTGGCAGAGAGCTGTCCATGCACAGCCTTGCCTGATATGCTAAGAGGTCTGAAATTTATCATAGAATGGATTGGAAATAGACAGCGGCTTTTAACCTAGAGAATGATATGATTCCAAAGAGAAGTGGGGTGGTGTTTTGAAGGACTGGTTGTGGAGAAACTAAATTTATTGACTGATGATTAGAAAAAAGGAGAGAGAGGAGTGTTTATTTCAGTAATAAATCGACTTGCTAATTCTAAACTCTTCACCCAATTAAATGTCGGTTGATTCACTTTGTCAAAGTTTAGTTCCCATTACCGTAGATCAAGTCCTCATTCCTTAAATGGTCTTACTTGCTCCTGTTTGAAGCTAGGCCACAATTCAGCCAGCACGAACAGTTTGCCGAGTGAAACTAGAAGTCTCCTGGCTTTGTGCATGGAATCTGGGAGGGGGGGGTGGTATTGTAGCTAGATGTCAATTTTCAAACCCCAAATTTACTCTATACAAGACGTCAACCACGGCTGACTTACATAACAAGTGAACACGGCCATACAGACCTGAAAAAATGACTTCTCTCCCTTAATGCCAAACTAGAAAGAGAAAAGCAAGTTCAGAGAACACATTATGACTCATCAAAGTCCAAAAGGAAAAGCTTCATGTGAACCTAGCATCCCGTGCAGCTTCCTGGAGTCCTTCTAGCCTCCAACCCTATTTGCTTTTGTGTGATTTTCTGCAAAACAAAAGAATCCTATCATTTATTTTCCTCCTTAATAGCTATTGTTAAATTTTGCTTTCCTTCGGAGATGAAACTCACGCTATATGTTCTACAATCTTCTTTTTGTACTGAGTGAATGGCGCTGCCTTTTCATTTCTCCTGAACGTAGGCTTTATTTTATAAAATTCCTACTTGCTGTGGTGCAAGCTACAAACAAGACGATTCTTTAGAGGAAAGACCTGAAGGGAGAAGGTGGTGCTTTCTTAGACCAATGTGAAGGGAAAGGGAGATGTAATATCTATATTTAATCTCTGCTCCCAGTGAAGGATTTTATTTTTCCATACCCACAGTTGTGCATATAATGCATGGATACAAATCCCTCCAAGTACTGCATCAAAATTTTATATGAACTGAAGAATAAACACATGTAACAAAGGGAGTGTTTTCTTCTTTACTTTCCATCTGACAAAATGCCAGAAGGAATGGCTAGTCTGTTCCTCTAGTGTCTCACTAAGATGATCGTTCTCTCTTTGAAATGTGGCATGGCAGGTGAAGGTGGAATCTTAAAGGAATAAAGGGGCACTTATTCACAAGGGAATAAAGATGAAGTCATCAGTTTCTGAAAATTGGCATGTGAGGTTGGCATGCCAGGGAAACAGATTAAACCCCCCTCACCCAAATTAAAACCTTATATTACCTAATGTATTAAGTAAGCATCACCATTAGTTAAAGCCCTTTTATAGACAACTAGGTTATCTGGCTATATTATTAGTTGTAATTTATTAGGCAGTTGGAAGTTATACTTTTTACTACATTACTGATTTTGTTTAAGATTTCTCACCTAATTAATAGTTATACTGGCATATCCTCAGGCAGAAAAGCAAGTTATTACAATAGATTCTTCAGGGCATACTATATTCTACTTCTTTTAGATGTGTTATCTTTTGTTGTCTTGAGGTTCACTTTGGGATAGACAGAAAATTATGAAGCTCAGGTTAACAAGCAAGTAGCAAAGCCTTAGAAAACTGCAGGGTGCATGATCCTTGACACTCCCAGCCACCTGGAAATGGTGCCCTTGCAGACTCTTCTTCCACCAGCAATGGACCAGCAACGTAAACAATTCTTGCCACTTCATGACCACATGCAGCACGTTGCAGCAGTGTTCTTTCCACAGCTTCTTGTCTTCAATATATCCACTGCATAGTTTTTTAAGCGTCCTAGAACTGTATTTCAGACCCAGTTGCTCAAATAGAGGCAATTTTGCAACAGTAAAATGGTGTTAAAATAGGATTTTACTCTAGGGGGGAAAACTCCTCAACCAAATAGTCACAGTGCACTTTGCATGACTAATTTAAGCCATTACATTACAAAATAAGGGATAAAGCATACTTTTCATAACACTACCATATAGGAACAGTTTTAAGAGTCAAGCACCTACATTCACGTGAGGCTAAAATAATAGGCCCCGATTTAAAATCTCCTAACATTCTTTCACACTTCGTAAAACTAAAAATAAAATTGTCTCTGCAAACACTGACCTATTCGTCCAGCCGAAGTACTGTATTTCAAGGAAAATGGGAACAAGAGGTCTCAAAACCGCCAAGTGCCAGCAGTCGGCTGTTTGCCGCCTTAACTGGTCTTAAATGTGGGGTGGAGGCGAAGAGACTTCGGACAGGAGAGAAAGAGAGATTTATTACCCTTCTTAAATCAAAAGCAGATTCCATGCTTCAACTGCCCCCTGACCCTCCCTCCCCGCCCCCACGAGGTTGTTTTCCCCTATTTTTGGTATATATTTTACACGAAGATGACAGGTGAGGTAAGGTTAAAGCGCTGTGTCTGATCCACAAGGGGTTAGGGCGGGTTTATTTATTTATAAGGCGTTCAGCCTCCCGGCTGTTCTTCCCTCATTGGCATTTGGAAGCTTGCAGTTCTTTTGAAAAGAGACAGATTTGGCAGGAATGTTCTTTGTGCCCGCCTTCCTTTTTACGGGGGGAGAAAGAGAGATTTATAATTACAGCCTTGGGGGGTGGGGCAGGGTAGGGGAGAAAAAGTTTCGGGCAGCACGTCGACGCCTGTTTTTTCTCATGGTCAACGCTGTGCCACAAACAGCTTTGGTGCCACTCGGAGCCCTCCCCTCGTCCCCTCCCTTTCCCTCTGCAGGCTCGCTCTGGCAGGCGGAGGCGCAGTTAAATTCCAGCACCTTCTTCACATAACCCCAAACTACTACGCGCTATTACTACGGCTGCCCTCCCTTTCGCTTTGCCTCCTCCGCTTCCCAGCCTCCCGAGAGGAGCCCGGCAGCGGCCCTGGAAGACCGCCGGGAAGGGATAACGGGCGCCCAACTCCATCAGGTCTCCGGGCTTTCTGCGTCCTGCGCAGCTTCTCTGTTCCACGCACAAACACGGCCAGAGAGCCGGCGCCTTGCAGACACACACGGATCCACGCATACAGTAGAGCTGTCTCGATGCACATTCTTGCACACCGCCCCCTCCTCCCCTCCGAGCTTCGGGAGTCGCTGAGCGGGGCGAGTGACAGGCGCGTCCCGCCAACCCGCGCCCAGACGGGCAGGGAAGAGCGGCGCACGGGGCCAACTGCGGCGCGCCTTCCGGCGCCGGTGGAGGCGGTGAGGGTGGGACGCGGGGCGGAGCCGGAGTTTAGGAAGAGGAGGGGATGGCTGTCATCAATGAAGTCATATTCATAATCTAGTCCTCTCTCCCTCTGTTTCTGTACTCCGGGTGACTCACAGAGGGAAGAGATTCAGCCAGCACACTCCTCGAGAACAAGGTAAATATAACTTACAACTCCTTTCTCCTCTTTCCCCTCCCTCCGGCCTCCGGGCTGCAGCCGCGGCACAAACCCTTCCGGCACCGCGCCGCCTTCGCCGGGGATTATTCATTATTATCCTAATTATTATTTATTGTGCATGCACGGAGACCAAAACAAACAGGCGGGCCAATGGCTACAACAAAAAAAGCCCGCCTCCTCCCTGCGGGCCTCAGGTGGAATGCTCTAACAGCAGCTCCCGCGAGGCGGTGGGAGAAACCGGAAAGTTTCAGCCGAACCTTGCTGTTCTAATAATAACAGTAATAATGACTACTTCAAGGAGGCAAGGGGAGGAACATCCCAACAAACCACAGCCTTGACCCTAGGTAGGCAGTCAGCGATGCGCTGCTAACTCCAGGTTGCAACACACACACACTCGGCAAGGGTGCAATCCCCCCATTCCCATAAAAGCTAGGGTGGCGGGGGGTTGGCAGGAGGACCGGGAAGGAGGATGGAAACGCGACAGTTCTTCCAGAGCAGTCTTCCCCGGAAGAGTTGGAAGGCGAGCGGGAGAGGAGGGCGAGGAGCCCGGGCTGGCGGCGGGGCGCCAACGAACGCGGCTGCCACCCGCTTCCCTGGGACTTGTTTAAAGGGCTCCGGCTGCGGAGACGCAAGCGGATCGTGGCGGGAGAAGCCGAAGCTGGCGCACCGAAGCGGCGGCAGCCGACGCCACGGGGCCGGTGCGTGCGGCGTTGGAGGTGTCACCTCCACTTCGCGCGTTCCCTCGGGCGGGGATGGGGGCGCTGACCGGTAGGCAGGCCTTTAGGCAAAGGGGATCCGGGTGGGCGGGGGGCTGCTGCGCCCGGGGCACTGCGGACGTCCCTGCCCCCTGGTACCTGGCGGCCGCGCGGGCTCGGGTGTTGAAGTTCGGGGTGTCCGGCCCGGGCCGCACTGCTGGGGGGGAGGGAGGAGGTCCCGATGAAGGAGGTCGGAGGTGCCTGCCGGGCTCAGTTACCCTGCCCTCCCCCTTCCCGGGTTTGTTTTCTTTTGCTTTGCGTCTTCCCCTAGCTCGAGATGCGGAAACCGCGGGCGTGGGTCGCCCGCTATCATCCGGGTGCTAGGGGAGCCACCGTGGCTGCGGGCCGGGGAGGCCATGATCCGGATAATCCTCTCTGCCTGACTGTCACAAACAGGACCCGCGCGCACCCGGGCAGCGGCCGTGGCGTTCGCCGGAGAAGGGGAAGGGCTGGGGGGGGGGGGGGGGGAGGAATGGGTAGGCTGGCGAGGGCGGGAGGCGGGGTGACCGGGAGAGAGCCTCCCCCCAACGATGACACGCACCTCTTCCTTCTCACTCCTTGCTTTCGAGTTTGCTTTATTCCCATCCCAACCTGGTTTACTCCTTTCTCTGCTTCCCCCCTCCATCTAGCCGTCTTCCCTTCCCCCGTTTGTTTTGCAAAACACGGCCATGCCATCTGCAAAGGTGTCGCGATGCACTTCCCCAAATAACCAGTCCGGCGCGCCAGCCCCTAGTCGCCCTCCGTTTGCGGGCGCACACCGAGGCCTCGCAGCCTGGGCGCAGTTGCACCGCGCGGGGCGGGGCGCAGCGGTGCGGGCTCCGGGGGACACCCGCTCCCGGGTCCCGGCGCTCGGCCGGTTTCCGGTACACGCGGGGAAATCGCCTCCCGCCAGTGTCTGCGCGCTCGCCCCCGCCTCCGCCGCCTGGATTGCATTATTATTTTTATCCGGGTTGCAGTTTGCAGCGGATCCTGGTGAGCAAGGGGCTGGCCGGACTGCTGAGGGGTGGAGGTGGGGGGGGGGGGGGGGGGGGGTGGGGGGGGGGTCGGGGAAAAAAAAAAGGTTGGGGGGGGGGGGGAGGGGGGGGGGGGGGGGGGGGGGGGGCGGTGAGCTCCCGCAGCTCGCGTCTCGGCGCCCTCGGGGCCGGCGCGAGTGTGGCTGCGCGGGAGTGTGAGTGCGTGAGTGCGCGCCGGGGCCGGTGCGTCGCGAGCAGAGGCGCGGGCAGCCGGTCCTGCCCGCGCCCTGCCCGGGAGCCGGGGGAGGACAAGGCGAGATTTGGTGGCGGGGGCTGGGGTGGGGTGGGGGGTTGGCGTGTGCGTGTGGCTGGCTGTGAGTGTGAGTGTGCGCGCGCGAGCGGCAGAGAATCAGGAAGTCACAGCAGCGAAGCGCACACAGACATGTTTGATCGCCGTGACATGACGCGCGCGAGGGAGGAAGCGGCAGCGGCGGCCGGGGCCGGGCCGCGGACTCTGGCGCCGGCCTAGGGCTCGGGCGGGGAAGACCCGCTCTGGGCCGCTGGCCGCGCTGCCACTGCAGGCTCGGCGAGCCCCGCGACTCTTTTTGTTCCGTGTCCCCCAGGTAAGGATTACTGCGCCGCCGCCGCCCGCCCTGTGCAGAGCTTTCCAGCTCTTTCCCTGCCGGCCCCCTCCGGTCTCCCGGCTCGCCGCGCCTGTAAAGTCAGGCAGGCGGGGGAAGCCGGCTCCCGACCTTCCGATCGATCGCGTGGAAAACTTTCCAGCGGGAGGCACCGCGAGGGGAAGAAGAAGGCCTTGCTGGCTGCTGTCCCTTGTCAGTTCTTCTCCGGGTCTGGGGAGTGGAGTCGCTGCGCCTTGGGGCCGTTGCACATGCAAACTTCGGGCCTAAACGTGCCTCCAACTCTCGCAGTATTTACTCCGACAATAAAATAAATATTCAGAGTCGTCCACTTGGTCCTGCCAGGCGCTTGGATTTTTTAAGAGCAGGAGACAGGCTGGGGAGTCGAGGGAAGTGGGGCTGTTGTGCCGAATCCATTCCTTCTTTAATGTCTGCAGCGGGTGTTATGTAACTTTAGTAGCACATGGGTGCAAAGCCCATACTGGGCTTCCCCCCTCCTTTGTTTATATAACTTTTTGGAGAGTTTTGCAAGGTTGTCTCTTTTCTTTCTTTCTTTCTTTTCTCCTCCTTAACCTGACGGAGGTTGGTGCTTTTGAAAAAGCAAAGCGACCCGGGTCGGTATTTTATGGAGAGGTGTCATCCTTATCTCCTGGTTATTAGGTAGGCTGTGTTCCTAACTATGTGTGATGTTAGAGCATAAGGAAGACATTAAGGATACACGTTTGTCTACCGCACTGAGTGGTTATTTTTAACGTCTATGCGTTACCAATAGCAGAGTTCAAATTTAAACTTCCATTTCAAAGGACTTTTTAATTTACACCTGGCTGTTGGAAGAGAATGCTTGTAGGAACAGAAAGATTGTTGCTTGAGTACTGAGTGGAAGAAAATTCCTGTCTAACCATGTACGTAAGACTCAGAAACCTCTCAGATCTGTACTGAAATAAAAGCCATGCCCAGTGTTACATGTGCGTGTAGACTTATATATGCACATTCAAATGTTTCAGTGATATTTTCCACCATTTTTGGGGGGGACCACTACCCCAGTCTTGTTTGCCTACACTAGACTTGCTAGGCTTCTAGCCTACTTCTAGCTCACTGGTGAAGTGTTAAGAGGTGTGGCAGGTTTGAATCCAAGTTGGTGCATTGTTATGCAAATAGAACACACTTTCTCTTTTAAGAATCTAATTGCCCTTTTATTCTCCTGGACTTTTTTTTTTTTTGAAGCTCCCTGACAACTTGGAATGTTTGCTGCTGGAAAGAGGGGATTTGGAGATGCCTATTAGGTACAAAAGATATTTATGACCTGAAATAGAAAACCAAACCTGTAGACAGCCTCCCCTCTACCTTGCTGGGGGCATTAAAGAGAGAAGCCATATTGTTGAAGAACACTGTAAAATAAATCAGGAGTTTGGGGTATCAGAACCCTTGAAGCATTGGCAGAGGTGAGGGGGTGCTTCCTTACATGCAGCTTTTCTCTCCTCAGTGACATCAGTTACATCCCAGCTCCGGGACTGGCTGCACTGTGGGGTTTCACAGAAAATATTCACCGCCAGAGTGTGTTCAAAGCAGCCTTAGATCTTTTCTTTTGTTCGTTTTTTTAAAGTGGTTTTTGAGCATTTCTCGTCAAGTTTCTTAAAAAGTGCTTTGACCAACACCTGAGGCTTGGAATTGACCAAAAAAAAAAAGTGCCTCTGCACTTGTCATATTGTTAATCTTTGGATTCTGTTTAAAATATTTCTGACACTTTAACCAGAAAGTACCACTTCGGCAAAGAAATAATTATTGAAACCTTTTTTCTTTGATTAAGTTTAAGATAAGTTATTTTACAGGCGAGCATGAAAGCACATACCATGCTCTTCTAGGAGATCATCGTGATACCCCTTATATTCCGGTAATATTTTGACATTTCAATTTGAGGGCTTAGTATGTATTGGAACAAGACCGTAAAAGAGAAGACTTTCATATATTATAAAAGTAGTGCCATCCTCTAGTGTTTTCATGTTGGCTTTTTTTTTCCCTTTAGCAGTCTTCCTTTGTAAACAAGGCCTTTGTCAAACTCTCCTAGGTCAGCAGCTTTTCGATACTCCAGAGAAATAATAAATCACTATTTATGACATCTTGACATGGTGCCATGAGAACAACTGAACTGTCACAAATATAATGCTAAGGAGTGTTTCCCAGCACTAGTATATTGAGGCTGGGTTGATCAGACCTGATTTAGCCACCAGAAGTTTTGATTCACACTGTTTCTGGTCAAGATGATTTTAAGGGAAGTCATGGACAATTTGTTGCTGACCATGAGTGGCCTTAGAAAACTCTACGTAAATGAGCCACATTTTTCTTCTGCAGTATTTCTGGTGAACAGATGAGAAAATTTCCCTGATGTGAAAAGCCGTTTTGGGGAGCTGCTTCTGATTTTTGTTTTGTCACTTTTTTTCTATAAAAGAATGATCATCTCAATTGCTCCTTTTTCTTACATGTGTCCTGTAGTTTGTTTTTGAACAATAGAGGATGCTGAATTTTCTGTCGTCTTTGGAAGTATTTGTTTATGGAACTTTAATCTCTAGCCAGTTAATAAAGTCATGGATCATTCTATAAGTGGTTGGGAATAGAAAATACAGGTGGTGGTAGGTTATTTGGTAGAGTATTTAGGAAGCCCTGGGGTGTTTATTTTTTCTGCATAGAAAGTCATGACTATATTTTCCAGGGAATATAGGACTCTAAAACTTAGTTCTGCCAGAGTCATTATGAAACATAGCATATTTATTTGCCTAAGATATTTATCACCAAGTTAAATGGGATCCTGCAACCTGGGTTTGGAAAACTTTACAACTTTATTACTGTTTATTATTACTTTTTCCCCTCATATTAATATAGCACTTTTTTGGAAAGTGTTTTAGATATATTAGAGATTTTAAAGATACAGTCAAAGATACTTGAATAATTATACTTTAGCAAAACATATAACACAGCTGATGAAATTCAGGAGCTAAATAGTTGAATCTTTTGAATGTTGGATATAAACATTATTTAATTTTAATTATGAGAGAATAAGTAAGTAATTCACTCATTTAGAATGATGCTTTAGATATGAAATACAGGATTTTTGACCGAAATATTTACATAAGTGGTGCCTTTCTGGACTTCATGATACATTATTATGTAACTGAAGCCGACTATGAATTGTAATGTTTTATTAGATATAAGACTTTCAGAACATTCAGTTACCATCAGGGAATATGGCTGTATAATTTTATACTTTTGAAAAGATGACAGTATTCTATGTAATTTTAGGTGGTGTATAAGCATCAGTCTTCGTTTTTGTTTTTTTTTTTGAATTTTATTTTATTTATATTTTTATACAGCAGGTTTGTATTAGTCATCCATCTTATACACATCAGTGTATACATGTCAATCCCAATCTCTCAATTCATCACACCACCACCACCCCCCGCCGCTTTCCCCCCTTGGTGTCCATACGTTTGTTCTCTACATCTGTGTCTCAATTTCTGCCCTGCAGACCGGTTCATCTGTACCGTTTTTCTAGGTTCCACATATATTAAGCCTCGGTCTTCTGCCAATATATCATCTACCTCTCTGCAAGCACTAATATTTTAGAAACCTTTTAGAAACTGACCTAATTGAAATATTGACCCTTTTGTAAATTGATGAATGGAATTCATAGAAGTTGAAATAAATTTGAAGTTTAAAACCCATTAAATATAACTCCCCCCCCTCTTTTTTTGTTTGTTTGTTTAAACTGAATTCAGAATTGTGGAATTAAAGTTACTTAAAAACAGCAAAAAAATCTTTGACCAAAAAGCATCGGGATATATTATCTTATAGGTTAACAGAAGTCCAGGGGAAGTTCTCTATCAGTCTGTGTTAGGATTGTGTTTTCTTGTTTAGAATGACTGTATTTCTTTACCTGCTTGAGGTTGTATTGTCCAGTTTTTACCATCCTACTGGGAGTTAAGTCATTGAACTTGGAAACTGAATGTCCGTGAGGAAAGCTGGGCATGTAATAGCTTTGCAAATATTTGCAACTCTTTTGCCGTTTGCTGTTGTGCTGGATTCTTACATGCACTAAAATGCTATTAAGCAAAGTCTATAAATCCGTAAAAAATGAATGATCTGCAATCGAGAATTTATGTCTTACAAAGAACATGCCTGAACACGTATGAATAGCAAATTGTACACCGCACAGATCAGTTGATACAGGGAGAGATCAGGATGGGCTCTCTTGAGTGCGTGGGGTAGATAGAGTCTTCGAGATGGAGGACGATTGTGGCCAGAGGAGGGCAGGGGTGGGGTGGTGGGTGCTGATCATATGAGATCAGGAGAAAGTCCTGAGATCACAGGGCCCGAGCCTAAAGAAACT